TATCTAGGAGGCACAATTTATATGGATAGTATTTATTTTTTTATAATAAAAACCTGGAATAAAAACAAGCAAAAATGGAAAAAAAAAGTAATGACTTTCTACTTCTTGCCTTTTTTTAAAAAAATGTAAGGAGTAGAAAGTACAGATAATTGTGTGAAAATGTAAGAAGTAAAAGTAAAAAGTAGGCTGAAAAATAAAAGTGCAGATATCCAAAAAGTTTACTTGTACAGTAACAAAGTACTTAGTTACTTTACAACTCTAAACATTTGGGAGAAAAACGATGATCATAGCATTCACACAAGTTTTTATTTGCATAAAATGTAAAAACTTTAATGCATTTATATTATACATTTATGCTCGTTTGTTAAAGTAAATACCCACACCACCACTCAGCCTGCACTCATTAACATGTAGTTTCTCTAAAACAACACAAGGTGGCAAAGTTGGTGCAAAAATGCACACAAGTGTTAACTGAGAAACAGCTCAGTGCAGACAACTCAGTTTGTGCCTTGATTTTTATTCACTTTTTTTTACACCAAATTTAATTAACACCACTATAATTCTTTTTTTCTTAAACTTGTTTCTTATTTTTCTGAAGCTGTCCCAAAGCTGAAGCCTCGAGTTCTCTGTACTTGAAAATGGAGCTTAGTATTCTCTGTAAACATTGACAGAAAAAAACTTAATATGACTCAGATAAAAGATTCAAATTCATTTCAAAAGTACATAAACATCCTGGCAGGAAGTCTGAGGATTTAGTGATTTTTGACTTTTCATTGATTGTAAAGATTTTATCATTATGAAAAATAAATACACAATGTTTTGTTTTTCAAACTCACAGTTCACAGTGTGCAGCTCACCAAGCTGTCCCCTGCAGAGCTGCGGCTGCTGCCAAGGAAGCGGCAAATAAAAGGCATCTCTGATCCCAACCTTTGCAGGCTCCTAATCATGAGATAATAACTCTGCTTCTTCAGCCACTGCCAGACTCAGCTTTTACACTTTCTGTTGGCTTTTTCTGCATCTATTCTCAGTGTGGTGATGTCAGCCGATCGAGGCGCAGCTGTCTAAGTGACGAGGCTCATTTAACGCTGCAGGACAAACAAAAAGAAAGACAAGACGGAAAATTTAAGCATATTGTGATGTTTTTTTAAAATTCTTCAGTTTGAACTCCTGGATCACAAATAGGAAAAAAACCAACAATGTTTGGTTAAAAAGATATGAGTGAGAGTGAGAAACACTGCAACCTTGAAGATTGAGAGAATCTCTCCGAAATTCTGCTGCTTTACTTCCAGTTGAACAATTTGCTTTCAACTATATAGTTTTGTTTTTCTTCAATGGATTTAACAGGATCCCCGATTAGTTGTAACATTAGACTTGATATCACAAACATATATTTTAACTGTAAAGTAAAGATGGTAAAAATACTGTAGGATGTTCAGTTTTTATAATTTTTAAACTAAAAGTTTAAAAATATATTACATGGACGGGGCCATTTTATTTACATGCAAAGCATTCTGGGTAAATGATGACATCAACTAGGTCATCGGTGTGAGGCTGCTAGCGAGCTATATCCACTCTGAAGGTTAATCTTGGACAATGATTGAACGAATGACAATGATGTCTGATG